GCGATACCTCCAAATCCGAAACGTTTCTCCATTCTTTCAAGTAATATGTTGTGGTCGATCGTGTCGAACGCAGCGGAAAGGTCTAGCAAAACAAGTACTACTTCTTCTTTTTGATCTACAGCTCTTAGGATGTCATTTGAGACTTTTAGCAAAGCAGTATTACTGGGAAGCCAGTAATACGTAGGTTTCAGCTTTTTTTTTTACTTTATCAGAAACAAAGCATTATTCGAAAAGCAGAAGTTGATGAAAGGATTCCAAACAATCCTTCAGATACCTCCGCGGACACAACCTTTTCCTCTTTCTTTGCGGCGGAAAGGCACAATTTTCAGTAGGCTTGTGGAGTAAGGTCTGAAACTGAAAGGGGAGCAGGAAAGGGGATGATCCTGCCGTTATCTATTTTATTATTACTTTGTACTTACTGGCTGAGTGGGAGGGCCAGACGGGACAATATTTGGCTCGAGGTCATGAGGTACGTATTTTTTCGTCTCAGAACATCATGCTCAGAACAAGAAACCCACACTTTATCGAAAGACATTACTTATTTTCTCACTTTTTGTTCACTGCTGTCACTCGTCTTTTAGCAAAAACAGCGAACAATGTCGCCGCACCGGTGCACAAGAGCTGGATGGCTTTTTCCGGACCGGCTTACGTCAACCCGTCCGACCCTACACACGTCAGATTTCACTAGGTCACATAATAAATGCATATTAGGTTGGTTTGTCATTACTTGTCTTAAAAGCCATCTTTCTTTATATTGTGCTTTCAAAAGTGGACATTTCAATGGCAGGGAAAAAAAACCGTACACACGTTCCTGTATGAACACTCTGGGTTTGGTACTGTTTGACACACTAAGAGACTCAAATTTTAAAGATAATTTCCAAAGTTTATTTCCAATTGATAAAAGCTCTCTCCATGGTAAAGCGGCATTCAAATGCAACTTTACACTACCACTAGCCAACTTCCAAATCTATACTAGTTATGTGGTATTAGTGAAAACCATCTGTCACCATATGGGTTGTTTTCCTCTACTAGCTGAAAATAGACTTTCATCAATCTGCATCCACTCTTGAAAAGATATTTTTCACATTTCTTCCATACTCCTTGGAGTGTAAGAAGGCAAGTGTAACGATATTTCTGGTGTGTTTCTCCAGTGGCACGTTCATTAGTATCTCAGTGGAATAAGATAAGCCAAGGTTACTGATTCACTTGTGAAAACTTTTTGCAAGGAAAACACCTCTACTGACTGCAAGACTGTGATCCCAATCACTTCCATCAAGTTTAATTTTGGTTACATGCTTGATAAAGGCTATCATGGTTTAACTATTCAATAAACCTGAAGTAGACTGGTGGACAAAAATGCAAGATAGGTCTATTTGTAATGAATAAAATCAGTATTTTAACTTAAAATCTATAAGTAACTGCTTAATTACAAGGAAGACAATCAAACATGGGAGGACCAAAACACCTGAAATTATTCTTTAACGTAACATATTAAAAGAACATAATATCTAACACTGACAGTACTAAACGCATCCTCTCAAAAACCATTATACTCAAACCTTACTAACTTAATTAAGTACACAAAGTTAGTTTTGGATAAAATGATTCCTGAATTGATTTATGAAGAGAAAAACTGTTTAACTGTGGATTTCTACAGTGGAAGCTAATTTTAATTAAAACAAGTATACAGCTAGTTGGCACAGCCCTTCAAAATTTTCCTGGTGTGATCACCATTCTCTCAGAACAGGATGACATGAAAATGCAGCAGTTTACATGATGGCATGGGCTTCCATGCTTAGAATGACTTGAACTGTCTCAAACTTTCATGTTCCAAAAGAACTTAATTGGATTGTTTCTAGATTACCAGTACCTATTACAGTTTGCATAATAAGTATCAATACCAGCAAGGAATGAAAATAGTTGAAAAAGGCCTAGGCAATAATAAATTTGTCTTGTATGGCATAAACCTGATTGATATACCAATCTCTGTAAACATGCAAAAAATCTGACAAAGATTGTGCAATCTTTTTGTTCATATCAATACTTAGTTTTGTTTTTCTTAATCAAGTTTATCATTTCTGATTCCTTTATAGCATCACACTGAAAAGTAACATATTTTTCAGCCACAAAAAAATGGAGGTTAAACATATGACAGCGATAAAGACTTTCCAAGTCATAGTTATTAGCTCAAGTTAAATACTCTGACTGCACAATTTTCAAACACCTACCACGAACTACACCAAAATTAAGATGAAAAAACAGCTTGGGCACCTCACTGAATGAATTAAAGTTACATTAAAAATTACAGTGATATGTTTTCTGCAAGTTTATTGGCAAATTGTTATTCTCGTCTGGTGAACCAAAGGCCTCTTCCCTATCATTTTACGCTGGTAACTTCAGAGACTTTCCTTTGAGAACTGGAAAAGAAGAAATACAAGGAAGGAATGTGTTACTTCTTGGAAAATTTTAAAGTGGACAAGGAAAAAGATTTTTGTCTTACTGGTCAACTCAATCCGCAGCCAGACCACACTGTGTGTTGATGGTTAATAATTGTTGACATGGAATTCAGAGAATTGGGGCCATTTCAAATAAACCAATTAGTGTGGCAACTTCCCACCACAGCCCTTTGTGGTTCAAAACCAAGCCAAGTGTTGATCGGTAAATTTGAAATGGCCAGCATGCTTCAAATTCCTCTGGTTACTGAGTTTGGCACTGACTATATTGTTCTAATGTGCTTAACACTTGAATCAGCAGTGATGCTGAAAAAAGAAATTGGATGCAAGTCTTTTGTAGAGGTAAATGGATTCATTACACATCACTTTGCTGCAATAATTTACAATGGTTTTCCAGTTGAAATATAGTGGCATTGCTCTGTCTTCCTTGAAAACATTTGCCTTTAGTTCACTCTTTAGGGCTGAAAATAGTGCTTCACACTTAATCGATTAGAACTGTGGAGGATCAAGTTTAGTGAAAGGTATACTCATCTTTACCTTTAGTTATATACAAGTAGAAGAAGTCCCAGTAAAGTGCTGTTTGTACACATCCAGCTACGATGGCAATAAAGTCATAGAATCCCTCAAAATAGTATCGATAGATCCAATTGACAATGTACAGAGCACGGTAGGCACCAAGGGCAAACAAATAGTGGCTGGTGATGGTCTCAGCTTCGCCAGTCTTAGATATCATAAACAACTGGGGCAAGATGGCTACTGCCTCCAAGTAGATGGAGAACGTCCACAAGATCTACAGAGAAAGTTGATTACCTTCAATAAGATCACAATTACAATATAATTCCTTTGATGTTAATGTAAGAAAAGCAGCTGAAAAGGAAATAAGACAACTGTTGTTAATAAGGCATTTCTTATCACCTAAAAGCCTCTTCTTGTCATAAACCTCGAGTTGTCTGTGAAAACTTAAATGTTTAAATTTATTTGATGGGTAAGTACAAGATGAAATGATGTCTTTAAAGACAAAAATGGGTTTCTAGGAGTGTTAGTACAAATTATTACAACTGTACCAGTTACTACAATTTATATGGGTTAGTACAATTTGGAAAATGAACCTATTCCCACAGATATTAGACTTCCGCAGTTACAAATGTTTCATTCATCTCTGTGACAACTATACACTAAAGAGTTTCATCTACTCTACCACCCCCAAAACACTTGTACACTGAAGTTCATTTTATTTTGGTGTTATTCTCCTGGTAAGGTACACCTGTTGATGGTGACTGGATGTTTCTGACAACCTGAGAAGAAAATATCTGTGATTTTTAGGTGAAATAACCCAAGTTTATTGGAAAACAACCCTACTGTGTTGATCTCTGTATGCTACCAGGCTCAAAAGTTATGATCACCAACAACCTTCACAAGAAAATCACACAGGATGAACTACCAGGCAGAGTAACCATGAAAGTTTTATCCAGTTGATCCTTTCTTTCCCAAGATCTCAGTAATTTTCCTTAATATCATCTATACAATACTTATGATGTTCATTTGGAGACTTTGCTTTTGGATCAACTCATTCTCCAATTAATAGTGACAGGGTTCATACACTTTTTCAGGCCAAAGATTCAAGGACTTTTCAAGGACTTTCCAGGACCCTACTTAGAAATTTCAAGGACTTTTTGTAATGACAATTTTACCTCAAAACCAAGAAAAATGTTTCTGTTAACATCTATGTTTTGGGTTTACCGATGGTGCAAAACAAAAGCAGATATTTTTTGATGTTGTGCAATAAAAAATCAAGGACTTTCAAGGATCCAAAACAAAATTCAAGCACTTTCAAGGCCTTGAAATCGGCCTCCTGAAATTCAAGGGTTTTCAAGATGCGTACGAACCCTGTAGTGAGGATAAGAGGAGAAATTTCATCATGGTCACTTGTGGGATTTTAAGGGTTAAAAGCAAAAATTCATATTAAGTACATCCAATGACTTAAGTGGTAAACACTGACTGATTGTGGAGAAAGTTTCAATGGTCCTTTAGTTGTTATAGATTAAAATTTTTGAAGTTCATGAATCATCAAAACAGGATTAGCCCTTACAATAAAATGGTCAGTAATGGCTATTAAAAACTATTTAAATTCTATTGAATGTTCTGCAACATGTTATTCAGTAGGACCCTGCTGTCTTTAAATCAGGTATCTCAAATGTTCTCCTTTCATTAAAAGAAAAAAATTATTTTCAGATGTCATCTGGTGGGACAGCTACTAGAAGATATTTTGGACTCCCCACAATCTCCGACAGGTTTCACTCCCATCCTATTTTGAATATCATCTCAAGCTGTAATTTTTTATTTGATGACCAAATATGTTGATTGTAGTTGGAAAATGATGAAGCCTATCTTCCCTGAATAAGCACCAGGCTCTTACCTACAAAAAGTTTCATTTTCCTATAACTCTAAGTTTTGAAGGACATCTTGCATCTGTATTGGCCTTTGAGCTCCTCCTTATGCATTCTCTAATATTAATTCTTTTGTTTTTCAAATTAAAACAGCCTGTAATCCTGAGAATACAATGAACACAGAAAGAGCACTCTTACTAAGCGCTCCTCAATAAATAACACATGAATCTTAAAACAGTGATACCAGGGATATCTTTTCTTGCCATGTCCACAGTGCAAGGTCCCACTAATATTTTATGGGTGGTTATTGAAATGTTATCAGTTAATATTGCTATTGTTAAAATGTCATTGTTATGATGTTATCAGTTGTTAAAAAAAAAAAAAATGGAAAAACTGATTTTAAGACAAGTCAAAAAACTTGCCTCTATAGCAACTTGGAATGGGGGATGTGGTAATTTTTGCCATTGCTGGTACTGAAACAAACAAATACATGTAAATACCAAATTAGAAAGAAGACAAAAAAGAAAGGATGTATGCATGAATGATTTTTCTTTGTGAATACCTTGTACTACAATTATGTTTTGAAATAAGAGGCAGTGTAGCTATCTAGATTTGAGCATTTTTAAACCCTTTACTCTGTCAGGAATTACTGTTGTGGTTCTTACTTCAATATTTATTTTAATTTCATAGTTTACGGTAAAGAATTGTAAATTGTTATGTCTCATCTGACAGTTAACCTTTGACACCCTACGATCAGAATCTATATTCTCCATTTTCTTATTCATACATTTCCTTATGTGCTGACCCTGAGAATTTGTTTTACAATCAAAGCTTCAAAGGTTGATGATCATTTCTGTTATTCTCATGACCTTAATAAATGATTCAGAAGGATGACTGTTAGGAGAAATTAGATACTGGTCACTCTTAGGGTCTGGTGAGTCAATGCCTGATAGAATTTACCACAATCTAGATTTTCTGTGTAGTTCATTGACATGAGAGAAGTGGTTTAACAAAGTCACTTGGCACTTAACAGGACATGTAATTTGGAAATCTAATGGCAGTTTACAGGAAGCCTGAATTAATGCTTTGTCAGCATCCCGCTCTTCTGCCACATTCAAGCTGAGATTTCAACTTTATCATTAGCATGATTCTTTCATTACATTTGGTAATGAACCTTTAACCATGGTAGTAAAATAATAATAATAATAATAATAATAATAATAATGAAAACAAATGAAATAATAGAAAGAAAAGATTAAAACTAAAAAATCAAAATCACAAGATGTAACAGAAATTAATCATTATCAACTACATATTTATTTTTCTGGTTTAAATTTTTTTAAAATTAATGCTGGTGATGTGTGAAGTCAACAAGACATTCATGAAATGTGAAGACCTCTCCTCCATGAATCTACAACAGATATGCCATGTTTCTCTTTTAACTCTTTTACTCCCAAAGAACTTACTAGAAATTCTCCTTACCGTCTGCCATACAATTCTAATAATGTTAGTTTGGAGAATTTGGTATTGGATCAACTAATAATTACCTATTAATCTATATTTTCCCTTCATTCTCATCACTTTCTTCTTGATATTGTATTGATGTTGTAAGGAAAACTTCTGTTTTGATCACTCGTAGAATTTAAAGGACCAAAGTCAGTGAATTTGATTGACTAAGGGCTTTGGCCTGTTGAAGTGAAAATCTTTTTAAGCAGTACACATCCTACAATACAAAAGGTTGTTAGGTTACCCTATTATTTAACTAAATCTACCTCCAAAACTGAGAACTCGTGGTTTACTAAACAGGCCAGACCAGCCACTGGAATAAGGAGGAACTCGATCCTAAATGTGTCATGGTTGGAATCGTATGTTGCCTTAAACTTGACCAACATCAGGTAAACAGTACCAAAGGAACACACAAGATAGATGATCTTCATCACGGTGTTATATACTGAGATGAATGTCAAAACCAGATCAAGGTACCGCGTGCTGAACACTAAGGCAAACAGTATTTGACTTTTGCCTGACAAGCCTAGGAAAAAAAAAAAAGAAAAATATAAGCAAAAATGTGGAAAAAGTACATTTGGTGCTTAACACATGGAGTAAGTTTTAGTGGAAATATCTGAAATTCAAAACAACCATAGCAACAATGGAACTACACTTATCACCCTAACATCAGTATGCAAATTCTCTGTACTGTTCTCTATACATTTCCTAGAGTGCTGATGAGGAAGATTTGTTTTAAAACAGTCAAGAGTTTCTTCAGTTGGTGATCATTTCCTTTATTCTTGTGACCTTAACGGGTGATTCAGGGGTGATATTTTAAGGAGAAATTAGATGGTGGTCACCCCTAAGGGTTAAATGGTTAAATCACTTTTTCCATGAGCTGCTGCCCATGGTGTAATAGGTGGCTGTCTCAAGAAAAAGGGGTGGTGAGGCAAACCTCAAGAACAAGAGCTTCCTCGCAGGCTAAACAGATATCAGAGAGAGGTCTAGAGGTAGTGGTGACTGCCAGTAACTGGTTTTATTTAAACCTTTGCTTCATTGGCAACGGTACCATAGTTGATTTGCACAAATACATTTCTACACAATCCTTAGCTCTTATAATTCTACTGAAAAAGACTTACTCTACTACGCAACAACAATTTTCTATCAGTGATTACATGAATACACGTAAATGAGTTACTGAACTCTAATTTTCTATTATTTATCAATTATCAAAATTATTCCCAAGAGATCTGGATAGGATACTGTAATATTCATTAATATGCTTAAAAGAAAAATCTGACCACACATTCTGTCAAATACTTCCAATTTCCATTGAGTGACCCAAAAAAAGTTAAAAAAAGATACATTTCTCAGGTATTTCCAACTTTCATACAGTTTTTCAAATGTTTGAAAATAATTCAGACAAAAGAGAAAATCAGCCTCTGATTGCTTAGACTACCCAGAATTACTGAGGTAGACACTTTCTGCAAGTATTAAAATAAATATACAGCCCAAGTCTTCTTAAAGTATTCATGTAATTGGCAGTAAATTAGAGTGGAGAATTCCCTGTTTAAGAAATTTTGCCTCATCTGTTCCTCAAACCCATTGTCTTGACAATAAATTGATAACAATTACTTTCCTTTTTTCACTGAAGCAATAACAAAGAAACAAAATAATGTACCAGCTGAAATTGTAACTTACAGGGAATAATTCCTTAGTATCATTAGTTTCAGGGAAAATAAATAGTAGCTTTTAGGCTCATAAAGTGTACGATTTCAACACACACAAAAACTGCTAACACAATCTAATCATTTTGCAGTAAAATAATATTCATTTTAAAGTTAAGGGACAATACTTCACGTCCATTGAAGATTCGAAGCCAAAGGTTTATTAAGACATTAATAAAATGGATAGCTGTTTCATAACTGTGCCTCCTTGTGCAATATCGTCTAGAAAAAACTACTGAAATTCTTGGTGAGTGATTGGGTAACAACGAAGCCTATTCGCAGATGATAGGGGATATTTGATCCTTAATAGTACTATTTACGAAAACAGTCAGGCGCTGGCACAAAGGGTTTATTGAGGACGTGGAAATTTGAATTCAGTGTTCGAAATAAAGATCAGAGAGAAATTCACCATGACCCACAGACCTACATCAGTGTAGTAATAAAGCTTAACTACCAAAGAGAGTCGTAATGACGATCGTTCCTAAAAATGAAACACAAGTCATCGTACGTTTGTTACACGTGTACAAAAATTAGACAACAGTCCATGGTATAACAAACTTGTATGCAAGTGTTTCATTGCAGAAGTTTGGCGTCTTACGTTACAGTAGAACTAAAAAGCAGTTAAAATTGGCGAACACCGACCCCTTCGTTGAGCTATATTCGGATAAATGTCTCTCTGGAAATTTATCGCAAAAAAGGACAGGAAAAAATGATCTGTTCAATTCCTGAAAAGGATGTCTGAAACTTACCGGCGCATGATCTTGTTTTCCATATTTTCCATAATAAAACTAAGATAGCCAAAAGATGTGAAAGATCTCCAGCAAGTCTGAAGATGTTCATATTGCTCGCATATGGTCAAAAGATCGTGGGAGAAAACGGCCAGCCAACTGCACGAAAAATAGGTTTCGCGAGCAGTGTTTGATTCAGACGCAGGCCTCTCAATAAATGTCCGCCACGTCGGCAGCCCTACATACGGGGATTCATGCCGTGTGGAACTCTCCGGAGGGTGTCGACAATTCACGAAAAGTAACGAAGTTTATCGACGCGTGTCAGTCACGCAATCTTCCCTGGCGATGAGGAAAGAAGGCGAGGAAACGGTGAAAAAATGATTGTTAGAGGAAATGGCGTACTACACGTGAGAATCGAGCACTATCTTTTTCAAGGAAGAGAGTGCGGGCGGGCATTTATCTCGCGGAAAAAATGATACTTGCAAGTAAACGGGAAGAACTGAGAGCAGGGTAAACCTCGTTTTAAGTCAAGTTAGAACTAAACATTTTCCCGCAGAAGGCAGAAAAAGAAAGGAAAAGAAATGACTGTTTATATTTTGTCCTTCAGGTTTTTGTCGAAGACGTCAGGGGCTTTCAGGGGCTTTTTTGACTGTGTTGAAACTTCTCTTCATCATTCTACCACTAATAGCTGCAAAACTTCTGAGCAAATTCACCAATTAAGTGAGTAATGTTGCTTCCCACAGAATTGATGACTGGTTGCCAAAGGCATCCTTTCATGGAGCCATTTGCACACAAGGAGGGGGTTGTTTTCGGGTTTGGGGAAGTTCCAATACAATTTAAAACCATCCTAGCCTGACTTTCCTTCCTCATCAGAGTGACTGGCTTCTCATTTCTCCTTACAGTATCACCCATGAATTAATAATAATAATAATAATGATAATAATAATAATAAT